CTCTTGTAGCCATAGTTCTCATTTCTGTCCCCACGGAGCTGCCTCCCTGGCATGTTAATGTCTCTAGTGTCCACAGATGATGCTGTGACTCACTAATTATCCAAAGTCAGTGCATCTCCAATATTAAATAGTGGGTATGTGCCTCTGCAAAGCAGATGATGGGCCCCGTGGCCACAGAGCATCCTGAAAGTCTATTCTGAGAGCCTCTGAGAACAATTAATGAGTTTGGTGCTGATACAGGGACAAAAATGTTACTGCCACACCCAAGACTATTCACATAAGGTGACTTGGAGCCATGCCATACCATCTTCTTCAGAGTAGCCAGAAACATGAGCCTACTGTATCAGTAGAATTTTCCTACTGATATAGTAGACTGGATGTAACACTGGACATGTTACAATGTCCAGTTGCTTCTGAGAAAATCTACTTTCTTCTTTAAAGTTAGTTCACCTGGGGTTTGTAAGACCTGTCTTTTATCGACCTGCCCAAAGTGATTCCTCTCATCTCTTCTGCCTCTTTATTTGGTAGATTTTTAACTTGTTTCATTATTAGTCCAGTGAAGCTCACCAAGGAAGATCAATGCAGACTCTCTAAATCAGACACTATGGTATCAATAAAAAGACTCATGTAAACTCACAAATACAGTAGAGGAAAGAGCGTGGGTTTTGGGACCAGTCAGGTGTGTATAAGGACTGATTATTTTTAAATTAATATTTGTCCTCCTTCTTCCCCCTTGTCCTTCTTCTTTTATTATGCCAGATGGCACATGACTCTATGAGAGAGGGAGAATGGGGCCTGGCCGTATCACAATCCTTTTTCCTATAGTACTCCATCCCATCAGGATCTCAGGGAATGCACCATGTGGGATCCAGCCTCCTCCACACAGCGTATAATCTCTGTACCACAGGCTCGACCCTGATTTTGAGGAAGTGTCGTGCTGCCTCTCTCCCTCAGTAAGGAACTGTTGTCAGACTTCCTTCAGGAGAAATCAAGTAGCTTTAACACTGACAGAGGAACCAGCAGTTAGCATAATGGCTATGTTGCTGGACTCCCATGTAGTCGACCATGGTTCAAGTCCCAGACCCGGTGGCTTAAACTCATGCCGGGCACATGTGTGTGCTTGCCCAAGATCCCGAGAGGACAATGGAGGAGAAGGGATTGCGGCATGGCCATCCCCCCTGGGGAGTGATTTCTCACTTTCTGTCTCTCTGTCTTTCTGGCAAGCACACGTGCCCTACAGCAAAAACCTCTTCAAAAAAGAAAAAAAATAACACTGACACAATGAGGGCAAACACTGTACATTCCTATGGAGTGATAATAATGCCTTGATTTTATTATATGTTGTCACACATTACCTCAAATTTTCATCAACCTCTAGGGTTCAGGGAAGTAGGGTCTGACGGTTACAGGTGACTACAGACATTAGAAAGTGTGCCCTACATTATGTTTCATTAGTGGCAGATTGCACTCTTTCCACTGTACTCATCTGCCCTTGGTACACCTTATCCATATGTCGTTAACAGCGACTGTTTCTGTGGGAAGCACTTTGCACATATAGAATTAGGTGTTGACTCTAAGAAGAATCACCTTGGCACAGAACTTCAAAAAGGTCTCATTAAAATTCACCCAGAAATGGTTTAAGGGTTTCTGGGTCATATGTTAGGGAGCATTGCTATCATTAAGTTCCAATAGATTAGAAAAAAATAATTCATAAAGTGAATTCAGCTGGAAAATATTGTAAGCGAGCAGTCTGAAGTAAGGAAAATCCCAGCAAGAGTCATAATGGTAAGAGATTGTGTTTCTCTAGTGAAGACTAAAACTCATTAGATGCATTCAAATGTGTAAGTGAATGATTTCCAAAATGTTTCAGTCTAAGGAACATTTCTATTTTTGCTAAGAAAAATGTGATGGAAATTTGAGCATGATGTCTGATGTAGGCACTATTAATTTTACAGCATTGATTAATCTCACACATGTAATCTGTGCAAATTGCCAGTCTCTCCTGGTTGTAATGTATTCAGTTTGGACAGTAAAAATAAACAGTCTAGGTAAAGGAGGCTTACAGGGGTCAGCAGGTGGTGTGGTGGTTAAGGCACTAGACTCCCACATAGCTGACCACAGTTCAAGTCCCAGACCTGATGGCTTACTTTCTCACTCTCCTTCTTTCTCTCTCTATGGTTTTCTCTGATTAAATTGAATAATATTAATAATAAATTAAATAAATAATTCTTTAAGGGAAAAAAAGGCTTACAAAGTTACCATTCTACTAAAAAAAAAAAAAAAAAAAGTTCCTGTTGATAAAAGTGGGCCTGGAGAGACAGCTGATAGCCTGACAGTTAAAGGAGCCAGGTCCACATGACCACCTGTGATTTTAATCCTGGTTTCAGTCCAGGATGTTTACATGCATGCTCAAAATCTTGACAGGAAGAAGGAATGGAGGAAAGGGAATGGCAGCAAGACCATACCCCTGTTAGTCATCGTTGAGATAGTAATTTGAGAGTCTTGTGTATGCTTCAAGTTACATTCATTCAGCTTATTCCTTAAGTATTTATTAGCACTCATTATTAGCACTCAGGTACTGAGAAAGTAAGGAAAACTAGTCTTACTTATACCTGCGAGTTTCAAAAGGATATTTGCCTGAACAACTATTCAAGACTGTGGTAGATATTTGGTGAAAATACGAAATTTAGGCTGAAAAGACAAAGCCTTTTGGGTAAGGAAGGATTTGAACCAGTCATTATACCAATAAATACATTGAATTTAAGTTTTCTCAGCTAAGAAGTAGCACCAAAAACAGGAGCCTCCAATGCATTTACTCTCAATCTAGATTATATTTGATACAGCTTCTGAGCCTCAGGTTATCTTAATCTGATCAACCACAGAAGCAAAAGTGAATTATGCAGCTTACCATCTCTACCTATAAAATTAAGGGCGGATCTTTAAACATGCCTGCTCATCATCTTTGAGGTGTTGTTTTCAAAATGATTAGGTGTGTTTCTCTTATAAGGCTAAAGGTTTATTGTACTAAGCTTAAGCTCTGTGTGAAGTATGAAGCTTTGTTAAGTTTAGTGTGTGCATTCTGTCTGTTTGTGTTCTTGGCATTATTGTTAGCTGAGCACTCACACTTGTCATTTCAATAATGTAGTGTTAATTCTTCATTCCAATTCATTCTTTTAAAGCTTGTACTTATTTTTTTCTATGTGTATGTGTGTTGAACTAAAGGGAATAAGTGAGATCTGAGAATGAGAATTTCTTATTCTGGTTTATCCCCTTAATTCCATTTTAACCCAACAAATGTATGACGTGTTTTCAAGTGAATAATAAATACTATGTGACTGTAGTCTCCATGGAAACTGCATTTAGTTATAACTGCCTATTGTATTTCTAAACAAATGAAAATATACTGTTCTTTGCTTTCATATTATGCTTAATGTGGTCATTTGACTGACTAGCTTTGTACTTGGTAGTTAGTTAGCAAGAAACAACTTAAAATATGCACAAAATTGTTAATCATGAAAAAAAATGGGGCATTATTGACTTATGTTAAATAACTTGAATAAACTTTCTTATCAATTACTTAACCCGATTTGGATAGACACCTCTCATACACACACACACACACACACACACACACACACACACACACATTTTAAAAAGTGGTGACTGGGAGATCTCAGCAAGTAAAATTCTACTACATATTTACTTGAGAGTCTATAGCATTTTCCTTGGCATCTTCCATTGCCATCTTCCTTTCATAACTTTCTGTCAACTTACCGAAATGGCATATGCAGATTTGCTGAACTGAAGATGGTAGAAGCAGTGTAAGTAGATTCAATCGTACTGTACTAAAATGAATCCCATTGCAGACTATACCATAGTTAACTGTACCTAATACTAGAAGGATGTGAAATGGAGGACGTTGCCTGAAAGCCTATCCATGAATATTGAAAACCTGCATAAATACATAAATACATGTTCAGAGGCTAGATATGCAATTATATTTATAATTATATTTATGAATGGATATGTGCCAAATGAGGATATATATGTGCATGTATTTACACATGTGTATGTCATCATTTTGACACGTATTTATATAAATCTATTTACAAATATATGTATATATGTAATGTGTTGCCCAAAGGCCCTTTATTTGAACCTCCCTGTCTCCGTCTTCAGATTAGCTTCCTACACCTCTCCTTGCAGATTAGTGTGGGGTGCTGCATCTTTCCTGCAGTTCAGGTGGAAACCCAGGGAGTATGAACAATATATTACCTGGTTTGCTGGGCAAAGACCAGGACCTTGGGCCATTGGACAGTTCTCTAAGTCCAGTTCCCCAGGGGCTAGTTGGATTAAAAATGCAAGTCTGTTCATCTCCGTGGCCTCTGTTGCCCCATGTGTGGAGGAAGGACAGTACAAAGTGACCCTGAGACCTTTTACAGCCACTGGTGATGTCATTACAACAAAGTACTGTCTGCTTTTGTGTTATGCACAGGGTGAACAATTGAAAATCAATGCTAGTGACCTGAAATGGCCTCTAAACACAAGGAAATGAAATTAGTGTTTTGGACAAAATTGACCCAAGATGAACTAATATTAAGCATTGAAACCATAACTGCAGGCTTTGAATATTGCATACTGAGGCATCAAATGGTACAAAGCTTTCTAGACAACTAGGCAAGTCTTTATCAAAGGAGATGTAGGTCTCCCATGAGACTCAACTAGCTGTAAAGAGCCAAGGAAATAGTAGTGAACTTTATAGCAGTCTGTTCTGATTCAGCGAAGTCCAATAAATCCAGAGTTAAACCAAAGATGAAGTTGCAAATCATTTGGCTGCATTATCCAAGTTGGTGCCTAGATGGGAGAAATATGAGTGTCTGTGACCTCAGGGCTGACTTCCAGAAAATGATGGTTGTTCCTGAGGTTTGAAGATGTGTCGTGGATGACTGTAATGGACACCAACAACATATTAAAGAATGACTTTGTTTCTGTCTTTGCAGAGGAAGAAGGTGGAGACCTGGCCCAGCCGGGCATCAGCTTTCCAGGGCCAGCAGAGGAGGACATAGGTAGAGTACAGACATCAGCTCTGGTTATGGCAGGGGCTAGACAGAACCCGACATGCTCTGGGCACATTCAGTAACTGGAGAAACTTTCTTAAAAACACGTTAAGCATGTTTGCCTTAAGAGAATGTCCCAATAAGAACTAAGTAGAATGTGACACTTTTTTTTTTTCCAAAAATAGTAGTTGATACACATTATGGAAGCTATAGGTGAGAAGAGTTGTCCTGGATCCTCACCTATTGCAGTTATGAACATAAATGATGTGTGTCTCTGAGTGTGAAACGAGTCCTGTTTCCTTTGCTTTTTCTTGACTAAAACTTACTCTAAGTCAGTCTAAGGAAGCAAAATCTCTTTTGTTTGCAGCTTTTTCCATGCAACTATGTTTTTTTTTTTTTTTTTTATGTAAGCAGCTGATTTCCCTAGGCAATCCCAGCATACACTGTGATTTGGATGTCGAGTACAATTGAGTGCCCTCTTCCAAGGGAGCTCAGAATGGCTGTCATATTATATTTTCCCCAGTGCTAGTTAAAATCATGAGGAAATTTTATTTTTATGCTGCCACAGACACACTGAGCTGGCATCGTATTTGGCCGTCTGTCATTGACATGGAGTTACAATGACATGGAAAAGGGCAAATGTAAGAGATGTGAAATGTTGAGTAAACTCAACGTCCAAGAGTTGACTAAAATCAACATCAAATTGTAACAGAAAAGAAACCTTATCAGTTGCACTTGGTCCAATGGTGTTATGCTCTAGTCTAAAAGATGCTCAGCTTCTTTCTTCAATTTGGTGATGCCTGTATGTTGTTACAACACCCAGGGCTGAATCGTGAATCATGATAAGTTCAATTTACATTTAAATTTCAGTTTTTATCAATTTACTTCAGACCTATAGCCAGTTAATCTATGGCTGGTTTGATTAGCTTGAAGGATAATACTGATAATTAAAGGACTCCACTTTATATAAAGCTTTGATTTTTTTAAAGAAAATTACAGTAAAAAAGTTTTTTATTTCAATTTAAAATTATGAAAACAAGTAGAATTCTTAAAGGATGATAGTATATTACCCACAGTTATATAGTTATACATTTATGTCTAACTAAATATTCTCAACAAGCTTTTTTACACCTAGAAATATGCAAATAATGTATTTTTACTTCTTATTAGAAAGGAGTAATGACTATCTCCTTAGCATAATTATGTATTTTTAAAAATTTTACTCTGCCAAAACTTTCTATTGTATAAATATTCATTGAGGAGGCTTCCAAATGAATATAATGACTTATTTGCTGTTTGCTTTACTGAGATTTTGAAAGTAGCTTACCTGTGTTGTGTACTGTGTCTGAAAACGTTAATATCACAATTGTGGCTGTCATGCCAGTTTTCCCTGTCTTTTGAGAGGGAGGGTACAATGTCAACATAAGTGAGAACTATTGATATTTAAGACATGGTTTTAAACTTGAGTCTGACATACTCGCCCCCCTGGGTAGATTGGGTGAGAGTTGAGGTCAGCCATGTTTACTAAGCACCCATCTCTCATAACACGTGGGTATTGTTCTGCTTGGGGACAGGTACATAGGAACAATCCTGAGGACCAAAGCAGTGGACCCAAAACTAAAGTGAGATTGGAGGAATTACTCTGGAAAGGCAGGTTTTGCTCAAGTTTTTACCTTAGAGTCCTGGAGTAGGAGTTTAAATTTGTTTTACAATCACGAGAAGTGAGGGTTGAAAGAAGAGGCGTGGCTGTGAAGCAGTCAGGATGTCACATGTTGTGCAGGCTGAATTGTAGAGATGGAAAGGATTTTTTTATTGTGGTAAAATACATAACATAGAAATTGCCATTTTATCCTTGCTTAAGGTATAGGCAAGTGACGTAAGTACATTCCCGTTGTGTGGCCACCCCCACCGTTGATCTCTTCCCAAAATGAAGCCAATGGCAGTGGCTATTCTGCATTTTGTCTCTTGTGATCTTGATGGTTCTAGGGACCTCGCATCAGTGGGATCATACAGTGTTGGTCCTCTCATGTCTGGTTTATTTCACTTAGACTAATGTCCACAAGCTTATTCCATGTAGTAGCATATGTGGGAATTTTCCTTCATTTTCAAGGCCAAAAATTCTGCATTGTAAAGCTACACCACATTCGGTTCAGCCAAATGAAAAAAAAGAATTATCGTAATCTTGTTTATATGACATTGAATCACATATATCTTTATAGTGTATTATATTCGGTTCAAACTTTAGTCCATCAATGGACACTAGGGTAGCTTCTATCACTTGGCAATTGTGAATAATGCTGCTATGTAAATGAGAGGGCAAATATGTGTTTCTGTCCCTGCTTTCAATGATTTGGGATGTATTTACCCAGAAGAGGAATTGGTGCTTCATATGGTAAAGCTGTGCGTACTTTTATGGGGAGATCTATATACTTTTTAGAGACAGGAAGTATTTGAAAGTTGTCTCTCTTGTCTGACCATGAGGTAGTGATTGGTGGTTTTAAGAATGAGAAGAAGCGATCAAATTTTAGACATTTCAGGAAGGGAAAAGAATGAGGATTTGAGACTACTATATATAAGGAATTATTTTATTCTTTGCTATTTTTTATACAATAAATCACTGTATATTTTTATAGCATGCAAATTTAATTTTCCCAGCATTAATACACTACATATTCATCCAATTAAAGGTAGCATCATACATGTTATCACAACAGATGATTTTACATTTTTTGTATCCCTTAAATGTTTTGCTTCTTTTTTTCCCCAAATAGTTTAATTTTAGACTTTTTTTTTAAGCTAAGCTTTCCAGTTTCCTCATTTCTAAACTGAAGGGGTTAAACTACATGATTTTTAAGTCTTTTCCATGTCTTTCATTTCTGGATCTGTAATTCTACTGGGCTAAATTAAAATTTGAAAATACTTTATAATTGGGACCAGCAGTTAGCGTAATGGCTATGTCGCTGGACTCCCATGTAGCTGACCATGGTTCGAATCCTAGACCCGGTGGCTTAAACTCACGCCTGGTGCATGTGCGTGCGTGCCCAAGATCCCGAGAGAAGAATGGAGGAGAAGAGATTGCGGCGTGGACATCCCCCCTGGGGGGTGATTTCTCACTTTCTGTCTCTCTGTCTCTCTCTGTCTTTCTGGTGTGTGCACACACCCTGTAGCAAAAACCTCTCCCCCATAAAAAAAAAAAAAAAAACTTCGTAATTATTGTAATGCTATTATGATTTATGGATAATAATCATTTTAAAAATACTATAAGACACTTTGCAGCATAGTATACCTTAAAGGCATAAAGCCATAAAGTAACATTAGCTTCTAGCCTTATTTAGAATATTGATGTTTTAACATTTTTTTCCAACTAAGTGCTGAAAACTCTAAGGAAAGATGAGTGACATTTACTGAAAAATCCAAGATTTTCCTTAGTTACAGATAAGTTAGCAAAACCTTCTTTTTTAAAAATAAGATGATCACACCTTATGCCTATACTGTTATCCATTACATTTTAGAAACTTATGTGTTTTCTAAGGTTAATATAGAATAATGCATGAAAATTAATTTTATGATGAGGAAATGATTGTGGAAAACAGAAAGATAAAGAAAGCTTCTATAAACTTAATCCAATTAGTGATAAAATAGATTAATGTAGCACCTTTCAAATGAGTACAATGAAAGAAAATCCTACTCTTTTTTCCTAGAAGCAATAATTTTCAGGACTACCTTCAGACACATTGCTTTATGAGTAATTTCTGTAACATTGGCTCTTTATAAAAGATGTTATTTTTTTACTCATTTAATTTTATTTATTATTATTATTATTATTATTATTATTATTATTATTTAATTCACCAGAGAGAGACAGAGAGAAAGTGAGAAAGCAAGCCATCAGGTCTGGAACTCAAAGCATAGTAGGCCATGTGAGAGTCCAGCACCTTAAACACCATGCCATCTACTGACCCCAAAAGATGTTATTTCTAAGAATGGCATTTTTTCACTCTTTTGAATATTGTATTTAAATCAATTGTAGAGTTGATGATTTATTAGCATTTATAAAGGCCATAATATGGACCCAAATTTTGCAATAGTCAATTACAAAGTAAAATGAAAAATAATCTGGCATATTAAATAATTAATCTATATTAAGCACATATTATATAGGAGGCCCCACACTGAGAAAATGGACACTCTATGTTAAACACCTGGATATTGAGCCAGAAGGTGGCCTAGTTATTGAGGTGATTGGATCCCGCATGGCCAATTACACAGTTTGAATCTCAGACTCAAAGTCTTGGCAAACCCACTGGGCACATCCGTGTGTGCCCAAAATCCTGACAAAAATGTAAACGAGAAGGTACTGTAGTGTGACCATCCCCACATGGGGTGCTTTCTCGCTTTCTCTCTCCCTCTCTCTGTTGCACGCACGAGTACATATGCCCTCTGGCTAATTTAAAAACCCTCAATTAATTTAAAAAGCTAATTTGAAAAGAAAAAAAAAAACTTCAAATATACCTATCAATACTTAGAGCCTCCTATGGAGTAGACATATATATTGTAAAAATACTTTATAAAATAGGACCTTACGTGGCATTGTTTTTATTTATTTATTTATTTTTTGGTGTCAATAGGTATTTTTAATTTATTTTTTACATTACATTTAATCACATATATCTTTACAGTGTATAGCATTTCTTTTTTCAGCACAATTGTCATGTGTATCAGTCAAGACAAAAACATTACTATACACATCAGCAGCAAATAGCTTTTCATTATTTTATCAATTATAATAATTTTTATTTTTCTTCCCCTGTCCCCCTCCCTCCCTCCCTCCCTCCATTATCCACCCTCATATTACCCTTATCATCACTGTCTCCAGTAGCTACCATTGCCCTCCCTGCTGCTATACCCTCCAAACTTTCAGTTTCTGTTATAAAGTGCAGATAATCAGTATATATTGAGTGGGTACATGCAAAGTCTGTCTTTTATAGTCTGACTTGCTTCACTTAGCA